GAACTGCATAGTGAGACCTTGTTTCAAAAAGAAGAAAAAGAAAAAGAAAAAGCAATCCACAGAACCAGAGAGGTGGTCCAGACCCCGAAACAATAAAAAAAAACAAAACCTGTAATATATGTCCTGATGGAGCAAGCACAATCAAGAAACTTTAACACAACTATTAATACGTTAAAGGCTGTTGTAGAAAAGAAGGATACAATGCTAGCAAACATAGTCCCAGTAGAGAGAAGGAAAGTATAAAAAAGAATCCAAGAGAAAATCTAGAAATAAAAATGTAACATCAGTCATGAAGAATTTCACAGGTTGATGAGGAGATATGTAAGAAAGGAATCAGTAAATTTAAAGATAATCAATAGAGATGGATGTGGTGGGACACACTGTAATCCAGCACTCTTTTTTAAATTTTTTTTTAAATCCAGCACTCTTGGGAGGCTAGGGCAGGAGGCTCACATAGTTGAGCTCAGCTCAGTCAATTTAGTGACTCAGCAAGACCTTGTCAAAAAACAAAAAGTTAAGAAAGGTCTAGTAGTACAGCTCAGTGTGAAAGCTCTGGGTCCAATCCCTAATACTGAGAAAGAAAAAACAGAAATTGTCCAAACAAAATTCCAAGAGAAAGAATAATCTGTAAAAAGGTAACCTGAAAGCTGCAGAACAATAGGAAGTAGTCTAATATTGCAGGGAGAAAAAGAGAGGTCCACAGTAAAGGGTGGAAGACAGCTTCTTGCATGCTAAAAATGCGAGAAAATCTAGACATCCATCTAAAAGTGAACTCTGGCTATTTCTTCATACAAGACTCAAAATTTATTTTAAAATGAATCCTATAGCTAATGAGATTTGTTAGAATATGAATAAAACAAGGTAGAGGTTGAGAAAAACTATTTGTGAAACACACACTTGATAAAGGGTTTGTACACACAGTATATATGTAATAGCACCATGATATGAAGACAAATAATTTAATTTTTAAAACTGACAAGTAGTTTGAACAGACACTTCCCCAAGAAGATCCAAAGATGGTAAAAAAAGCATATGAAAAGATGCTCAACATGAAAGAAATGAAATTAAAACTACAATGAGAAAACACTATATGCCAGTTCTGATTCCTAAAATGGCAAAGATAAATAATACCAAGGGCTGTGGAAGCTGAAAAGAGTCACTTACTGCTGACTGGAATGTGAAATGGTATAGTAACTATGGAAATGATTTGGAGATCTTGTTTTCAATGTTAAACTTGTACTTGTTACCATTCCAATATGGTGCAATAGCTCAGTGACTTAGACCTATCAGAAAAGAACATTTCAGGGCTGGCCAGATAGCTCAGCAGTCTAAGCACCCACCAGCAAGTACAGAAACTGGGATTCAATCCCTGGCACCACATGTTGCCCTGGCTCCACCCCCTGGTACTCTGAGCCAGCCACTGAGACCCAGAGTGGTGGCACACACCTGTAATCACAGCACTAGGGAGGCTGAAAACAGAAGGATCACTACAAGTCCAAGCTGCCTAGTGAGACCCTGTACCAAATACATTAAAAAAAAAAAAAAGAAAGAAAAAGAAGCATGTTCAAGAGAAATGAAAACCTGAATCCACAGGAAGTTTGCTCACAAGTATTTATAACAGTTTTATTCACGGTAATCAAATCCCATAAGTCACCCAGATGCCAGGCAGTGAGAAAATAAGTAAACTGAAGTTACCATCCATGGAATTCTACTCAACAATGAAGAGAAGCAAACTAGTGTTATTTGAAAAAAAAAAAAAAAAAGAATGAAAACTATGCCAAGTGAAAGAATTTGAAACAAAAAGCTACATGTTCTATGACTCATTCATACATCCTGGAAAAGGTAAAAACAAAAATCAGAGCATAGTGGTCCAAGGCTGGAGGGAGAACACACTTTCAGGACTGCATATGTTCTAAACCTTGCTCGAGGCAGGGCTCACATTATTGCATATCTTTGCCCAAACTTTTGAAACCAGGTATTTTAGGAGAGTGAATTTTACTATTGCTTATACCTCAGAAAACCTAACCAAGATAAATGAATACATAAATTGTACTTTGACAAAACAGTGATTGTATGGTAAATTAGATATTCACATGGAAAATAAAATTAATCTTGACTATGTCACATCATGTCTAAAAAAGATGATTCCAGATGGATTACAGAGCAAAGTATAAAGATAAAATAATATAGCTGTCAGAACATAAAACATCTTCATAATCTCAGGATAAGGCCAAGATTTCTTCAAGTAGGACAAAGTGGTGATAACCTGATAATTACACTGTTAAAGGGAGTTTAGTTCCTTAGCAATAAAAAGGCAAATCAAAGGAAAGAGAAGATATTTGTAATATATATATACCCTACCATGACCTTAAGTGCAGAATGTATTTCTTTTAATTAACTTATTTTTTACATTTTTTTATTTATTTTTTGTTACGGGGTCTCACTATGCAGTTCAGACTCGTAGTGATTCTCCTGTCTCAACCTCCCTGAGATTATAGGCGTGCACTACCATGCCCGGTTTTGGTGACCTGCTGAGCGCCTGGTGCCGGCACAGCATTCAATTCCAGGGATTAAACCTGGGTCACTTAGACCACTGAGCTATCGCCTCAGCCCCTATATTTCTTTAAGGATGTCTACAATTAAATAAGAAAGATAATTTCTTAAGACAATTCAATTTTTTCCACATTTTTAAAAACATTTGAAAGGCTTTTCACAAAATAAGATATCCAAGTGGCCAATTAACATATGAAAAAGTTCCCAGTCACATTAGTCTATAGGGAAGTAATAATCAAAACTACAACTTTATCCACTATAACAGCTTCAGTGAAATGAAAAAAAAAAAAAATCTTGTATTGGAGAGGATACAGAAAACTCAGAAACTTCATACCCTCGCAGTTGAATGGCAAAATTTTTAATCAATACAGCTGCTTTGGAAAGCTAACTGATAGTTCCTTTTCCTCCGCAGCCCCTGCAGCATTTGTTATTGGCTGACTTCTGGATGGCAGCTATTTTTTCTGGGGTGAGATGGAATCTCAATGTTGTTTTAATTTGCATTTCTCAAATGAGCAATGATGTTAAACATTTTTTCATGTATTCACTTGCCATTTGTATTTCTTCCTCTGAGAAGTATATATTCATCTCAGATGCCCATTTTTGGATTGGGTCTTTGAATTTGGGGTCCTGATTTTTTTTTTAATTCTTTATATGTTCTAGATAGAAAGCCTTTGTTGGAAGGATAGTCAGCTATAATATTTTCCTAGTTTGTGGCACTTTTATTGGTGGGAATGCAGATTGGTACAATCACTATGGAAATCAGTGTAGACATCCTTTAAAAAGCTAGGATTAGAGACCCCATTCAAGCCAGCTATTCCTCTCCTGGGTATTTTTCCAGAAGAATGGAAAAACTTCATACCACAACAATATATGTGCACCCATGTTTATAGCAGTGTGATTTGTCATAGCTAAATCCTGGAAAAAACCCAGATGTCAATCAACTGAAGGATGGACAAAGAAGATGGTATTTTTACACATAGGATTATTATTCAGCTATAAAACGGGATAAATTTGAGACTTTTGTCAGTAAATGGATGCAACTAGAGAACATACTCTTAAGTGAAATAAATCAGACTGTCATGTGCAAACACTACATTGTCTCCTTAGTGTGAGAACCTGAAAGAGAAAAATGGAATCTGAAGGATACAATAGATATGAGGAAAAGGGAATGAACTTATTCAAAAGTGAGTTGAGAAGGACAGGAGAGGGAGTCAGGGAAAGAGATTTATCTAGGTATGTAAGCAGGATAATTTGGACAACTGTACTGTGAATTTCTGTTGGTCTAAGGAAAGAAGTAGTTAGTCTTTAATGTGCTTTGTCTCCTTTTTTCAATTTTTACTTTTTGTCTTCTTAATTTCTTATACATTTCTTTTTTTTTTCTTTCTTCCAAGTTTATATGCATATATCTGGTAATATGAATAACTGGTTGGAAGACAATACTATGTATTACAACAAATACTATGAAATTCATATTACTTTAAGTGAAATTCTGTATCACTAAAAGTATTTTCTGTTTTAACTCTAATCTGTACTCTCTTTAAAAGATAAAAAACAGAAAACAAAAAATAACTTTTACTTGTGAATTATAATACAATGTAAACGTTTTGTAAGCATATAGTATATCTCAAAATGTCATATAATGGGCCTATATATTAAAATATGAAATAACTATGTGATTTATTCAAATAAGTAACTAAATCTGACTTTTGGAATAAACATTCAGATAGGTGGTGAAATCTAAAAAAAAAAAAAAAAGTTAACTGATAATATCTTCCACAGCTAAATATATGGTAGAAAACCCAAAAATTCCCCATGTGTACACTCATATTTAATAGAAATGTGTACATGTAATAAAACCAAAAGCATATTTTACCAAAATGACTCAAGAAGAAATAGAAAAAAAAAAACTAAATAGATCAGAGACTAAATCATGGGTGAAAATTCTTTTACATCAGACTCGGATTGTTCCATTGCAAATTTCTGCCCCATAGTGAATTACCAAGTAACTCCCATATTCTGAAAACCATTCCTGATAAGGAACATACTAACCAGAACATTTTTTGTCTGATCTCATGTTTGGTAGGCATAAGAAATATAATGTGCCCTGACCAAGTTAGTTTTATCACAGTAATGCAAGCTAGCTTAACATTAGAAAACCAATAAAGTTAAAACATTACAGAAAATGAAAAGATTTTTAAAAATCATTTCATCATCTCGGTAGATATTATAGAACATCCAAAAAAGTTCAACAACCACTCTTGATAAGAACCTTTAGCAAACCAGAAATAGGAGAGAAACATTAACCTGGTATAGAGTAAAATACCTTGAATTCCTCATGTGTAGGAGGGGCATAAAAACACATCATCTAACTCACAGGCCTAGCTGAGGTTTAACTAAAACGCTGGGGTCAGGTATCCGGGAGCTGGGCGAAAAGTGTTGCACTTTACCTGGTGGCAGATCTTGTCTCACAGCAGACAGCAGGCTCAATTCAGAAGCCGCTCTGTAAAAACAAAGAAAGAGGTGGACTCAGACACCTGGGAACCTAGAACGCCTGCAGACTGCAATCAGTGCAAGATCAACACCCACCTGGGGCTCTGTGCATCCTTCAGTACCTCTGTCCCTCCAGTTCTTCCTCTCCAGCCAGCTGAGTGAGACCTTCTCGCGGTCCCCTCCACCTGCCTGTCATCCACAGCACTTAACTTTCTGCCCATCAGGCTGAGTGATAACTGTAAATTTTGAGCATGCCATGCTTCTCCTGACATCTCCCCCACAACTTCCTCTTTATGGTGCATGCCTTGCCAGGACTTCTAAGGCCCTGTACAATCCGGGCTCCTCCTGCAGCCCTGCTGCTCAGCCCTCGGTCACCTCTGCACCTGGCTGCTTCAGTCCACATCCTCCACGTCCTCCTCTGCCGCCTCTCAGCTCCCACAGGCTCTGCTCACTGGCCAGCACCACCCCTCCTCCCAGTGTCCTCCACCCGACAGATCTTGCTGTTTGCCACAAGTGGCACTAAGCTGCGTGTCAAGCCAGCTGCTGCTCCGGACAGGCTCCAGCTTCTCTATACACTTCTCCCAAAGCCCACATTTTCCCTTTGTAGCACCACATGCATCTAGTTATTCAATATATCCAGCTTCCCCATGACAAGAGTCCCCTCTGCCCCATACAGCTGTGTCCTCAATACCTAGCCTAGCTCTAGACCCAAAGAACACGCTTAACTGATCCTTGTTGTGTCACGATGGGTAAGCCCATGTCTCACCCCTTAGCTTCCCAAGCCACCTGTGCATTCATACTAAGGGTTTCGTAAGGTTTCCACTTCAACAGCAGATTGCACTGATGGTCAGGACTCACTGGTTGCAGAACCAATGCTGTTTCTATACTACCATGAAAGGAAATGACAAAAGGAATATGATGCAATTTTTCTGTGATTTAAAAGAGTTCTACTTGCTTTAGACACACATTTTTATTATGTACATAAAGAGAAAAATATGAAAATATGAGTGAAATAAATCTATTGGTGTTATGGTTTAGATCTAAAATGGTCCTCAAAGCCCCATGTATTTCGAAGGTGATTGGATCATTGCTGACTGGCTGGTAGGAGGTAGGGTCTGGTAGGATGAGGTGGTCACTGGGGTGTAACATGGAGGGCTCCTCTCCCACCCCACCTCCTCTTTCTCTCTGCTTCCTGTCCACCAGGCTGTGAGTGACTCTCCTGTTCTAGACCCCTCTGCCATGCTGTGCAGCTTTGGAGCCAGCTGACCAAAGAACAAAACCTCTAAATATTGTGACCCAATATAAACTTCTCCTTCTTATAAGTTGTGAGTGTCAGGTATCATTTCTCAGCAATGACAAGGTGACTAAGACACTTGGGAATCCCAATTTAAGTTGATACACACACAATGCTATCCTCTGGCCATCAAAAGCATGAGTGACATGGCCTCTCTTAAGGGCATCCAGTCATCTTTAAGACTTTTCCTAAGGTGACAACATCTTTCCACAAGTGCTGCTATTGGCAAGAAAATCTGGTGACAGATGTCACCAGAAGATTTCAGTCAACACTCAAGAGTCACATTTTCTCTCAGGCAGCCATTGAACACTGATTGAAAAATACAGGGTATAGTCATGCAATTAGAAGCACCAGGAACACACACACAACCCCTGTGAACATGGCATAACTAACCCCCTGAGAATCACAACAAAAGATACCTTCGATTCTGTGACACATCATGTAGCCCAAAACATCGCAATATGGAGAAATAAAACTGTCTTGAAATAACAAACAAAGGCTTTGAGGTACTGCAGAGAACTGGAAATTCAAGAAAAGAACACAAATGCCCTCTCTTACACACACACACACACACACACACACACACACACACACACATTCACTCACATGTGGTCACACTCACACCTGAAAACTCCTACTGCTCACACATGGAGCTGGGAAGGTGGGCACAAGCAAGCTCACCCCCTCGGCCACTCCCTGGCATGGGGCTCTCTCCCTGAGGAAGAAAGCATTTCTGGCTGTCCACTGCCCAGTAGAGGAACAGTTCCTCCCAAAGGGCTCACTTCTCTGTAAGCAGTGTTCTCTTATTGAAAGACATTTAAAAAGACAGTGCTGTGACATGCAGAAGTGTCCCAGAAACATACTGTCGCATTAGAGAACCGTAATGCAAGAGGTTCCTAGCCCTCGGCCCAGCATTCCAGGATCTGAGACTCAGTCTGCCGGCCTTCAACCACAGTTGAGAAAACAAGGAAGGCTGGGAGATCCAGGAGAAGCCCGTAGTTCTCTCCACAGTTCAGTGTATTTATCTAAAAATGGACACATGGGACTAGATGATGAACTAACTCAAGGTCCCAGCAGAACCAAGATGGCACACTGAAACGGGAGTGTTGACAAGAGGGGACCATTCTCATGGTGTGGACGGGTTAAGAAAATCATGCTCAACAAATCCAGACAGAAGCTGGAGGCCCAGCCTGCCAGGACCCAGAACTGTGGGACACAAGGGCTGAAGAGAGGATCCCAGCCAAGGTCATCTCTGGTACAGAGGGAAGCTTTGCTATAATGTGAAGAAACCTCTCAGCATTTATTCCAGAATGCTGAGGAAATCACACATGCACGCATGCGCGCATGCGTGCACACACAGCTGGCATTCAGCGTCCAAGGCTTAGGCAGACGGCAGCTCCCTGCACTGCACGGGAAAGACACAATGCCCACGGAGGGCCTAACACAGGGCAGCTCTGCTCTCTGTGGCTGAGCTCTTACAAAACAGAGCAGGGTTCAGCTGCGAGGTGGTAGCTGATGCCTCCCACTAACGCCCCCCACCCCAAAGCCTCCCTTTTCCAGAAGCAGGACCTCTGGCATCCTCTGCCCCAGAAGACAGTTGCCAACAGGAACAAGGAAACACCTTCTGACACTGGCCTCGCTGGGCCCAGGCAAGGGGAAGAGCTGAGCCACATTTGCCGCCCCTCGCCCGCCCTGCCCTGTGCCTGGCCAGCCTGTGGGCTCTGTGTGGAAGGACAGGCCAAGGAGGCCAGGACTATGCAGGCATAGTGGTGCCACAGGAGAGGCTTCTCAGTCCCTTTCCCCCAACCCAGGCCAGGAAACAGGAGCACCCAGGGCCCTCTCATCTGCCCTCTCCCTTGGCCAGCCACTGCTCCAAGTGTCACGTGCCTACCACACCACACCCGCCCTCCCCTACTGCTGTGTCCCCCAGGTCAGGGTGCTCAGCACTAGGGCCCATGAGCAGAGTTCTCAGGGAAAGTTTGATGGACCTCTGAACATTTTCTGGGTGACATAGCTCTTGAAGGAAGTCCCTAGGATCACGTGCCCAAGACCCTGGCCCTGGCAGCGGCCACAGTTCCTAGCATCTGCTTTTTCTTGAGTGTAGAGGTCATGCTGCCCTTCAAAGCATGCAGGATTTCACTGGAACCACAGCACTGATCTCCAAGGAGGCAGCAAGGCCAACAGAGAGGTGTCAAACTGGTCTGAGAAACAATCTCAGAATAGACGGAAACCACAGTGGGCTGGAACAAAAACCCACTGGGAAAGAAACAAAAATAAGTTTTCAAAGAAAAAGATGTGTTTTATTTTGTGAAATGAGCCAGATCACTTCCAAGAGGCTTCCCTGAGTGAAGGAAGACTGATTTCCAGCTGCTCACACGCTCACAGGTGCATGGAGGCCCCATCCAGAGCCTGCTGCAAAGGAGCCCAGCCCCGGTGGAGCTCAGTAATTAACGCACTGGGCGAGCTCACCACATCGCCACCCTCTCCTCTGCACAAGTGCCAGGGCTGCGGGCTAAGATCTTTACCAAGGGTGATTCAGCAAGCACGAAGTCGAATCCCGCTGTACTTCTGCCAGAGTCCTGAGAAAGAACGTCAGATGCTGGGCTTGTTATTCTGCTGGAAGCTGACTGGGAAGGAAACAGAATGCAATGCTCCCAATTGAAATATTTAACGGTTTAAATATTTAATGGTTTTTTAAAATTTACCATTGAAACATACAAAAAATAACATACTTTCAAAAGTGACAATGTGGCTCATCTCACAAACACACACAGACAGTAAGTCTGTCCTGAAAACTCCAAATAAAGCAACCTGTCAGCTGTAAAATGTAAGCACTCCTTCATAAATACTTTGTGCACTTCCAATTCTTTCAATAAATACCATGTTACCATATCAAAAGTCCTCAGCGAACATCATCAGCCTCTGAAAACATGAATGAACCAGTCTCTCATCACATCAGTCTGGATGTCTCACAGTGCTGAGCACTCACCAGGGGCAAATGGAGCTCCTCACCTCCGGCCCAAACAAGAATCCCTTCCTTTTCCCCATCTCCCAGGCAAGAACCTGAGCAGCCTGCTCTACCAACAGCCAGGCCTGCAGACTGTAAGTCCCAAGGTCTGGCTCCTCTCTCGATCCCTGTTGCCGCAGCAGTAGGTCCAGCCTCCCTCACCCTATCTAGCGGACAGCCCTAAGATCTTCCAGGCTTCCATGCCGCCCATCTAGTCCTCCATCCTTGAGATGCATCCCTCTCCCATCCACATCAGATGTCAGCCCTGTACCCATGCTTCGCAGCTCCTGGTTGCTGCACAAAGAACTCAAAATTCAGTGCAGGGGGCTCCCTCACACCCTGAGCTCCAGCCTTATGAAACTGTTTACAGATTTCACCCAACTCTCCTACCCCACCTTCCAAGGGTCCACCCAATAATTTTGCCTCATTCCAAATAAAATCTGTTCTGCCCTGTATCCCAGGTCTGACCCTCAACAGGCCCTCTTCCTCTCCTCAGTGAAGTCATTGCTGCACTGGGAGAGCCCTTCCCAACTACCTTGCTTGACTTGAGCTCATTATGGGGTTCATTACCTAAGTTCACAGTGATGCCTTGTAGAAAGTTCCCTGGAGGTCTTTATTCCCCAAGAGAAATCTGGTCCTACTACCCTATGCATTTGTCACAATTGATGGCTGTCTACTGATGACCGGTTATTATTTCAGAGCTCGTCAT